GTCTCTTGCACTGATTTTTTCCTTTAACATTGTGAAGCTCTACTTAGAACCTTCTTAAGATCCAATAGTGCAAAATGCAAATTCTTGCACTTTTTTTTGACTGGTCTTAAGATTTTGATCAGGAGTGTTTGTATTCCTTTAAGTAAAGGTAGCCTTCTCATAATTTTAGGTTTCACGGTAGGTCCTTTTTTTTTTTAAAAAAAAGTGAACAAATAGGGTTAGAAGTCACCAACAGTAACAAAACAGAAACTAAATCTTAAACGTACAAAACAGTTGCCAAAACGAACAAAAAAATCTAAAATAAGCAGAGTGGTCTAAAGAAGCTAAACATAGCAAAGCAATAGCTAAATTGAATAGTAACTAACAGTAGCATAGAAAAGAGCACAGGAACAAGTTTTCTGGAGCAGATTTTAAAGATTTGAAGATTTGGAGTAAAAATTTGGAAATTTTAAGCCTAAAAACACCTTAACTGAAGTATGGGGAGGCAGGATCATAATGTGGTGTGTTTGCATCATGAGGAGATCAACTAGAAAGTTAAATCTTGGGCTAAATTGAGTCTTTAAAAAGGACAATGACCCTCAGCATAATGTCAAATTACTGTAGTTACAAAGTAGTTGCAGAACAATGGTCAATGTTTTGGTGCAGCCCTAATCCCAATACCATAGAAAATTGGTGGTCAGAGCTGAAAAGGTGTATAAACAAGGCAGCCTACAAACTTGACTCAATTTCCCCTGTTCTATCAGAGGAAGGAGACAAAACTACAACAAACTATTATAAGGAGCTGTAAAAGAAAATCCAGAATGATCAAGTTTCGAAGGCAAGATCGGACCCATGACGCAGACAGACAGGATCAAAAAATAAAAGGTTTTATCAAAGAAAAAACTGGCGGGGCAGCAATCAATAAAACCAAAACCACAAAAAACACAAAGTTGAGCCAGGACGAAAACCAAATAATGACCGGTTGAGGAAGTGAGAGAGAAGGTCTGATTATATACAGAACTGGGTAGAGTGCAAGTGGAGACAGCTGTGTGAYAACAGAGTGCAGACAGGGGTGAGAGAAAGATGGAAGGGACAGAATCAACTGAGGACTGAGATGAGAGWGTGAGACACAAAGGGAACAGCAGAGGAGGACAGAGCACAGGACAAGACAACAGATCCTCAACAGTATACAGAACCATCATGTTCCTAACAAAAAACAAAACAAAAATAAGCAAGTTCTGCCCAAATATGATAAATGGATCAATGGTACTTTCCTTGAAGGATGCAGGCAAACATTTTAACTGTGCTCTGATGATGAAACAGCAGCAGATAGCTGTAGGCTTTAAAAAAGCAAAAAAAAAAAAAAAAAAA